GTAAAAGTCTTGTGGCAGAACCACACGCCTAGGGAGGCGACTTGGGAGCTGGAATCAGAATTTAGGGCCCAATATCCTCATCTGTTTGATCAAGAGTAATGAGGCAAATTTGGGGACCAAATTTCTTTATGGGGGGGAGAGTTGTAGCACCCGGAAAGGAGGAGAAAAAAAAAAAAAAAAAAAAAAAGGGGGGGGGCCACGTCAGCAGGCTCGGTCAGCAGTCCCGGCCAACCGGGGCCTGCCACGTGGCAAGATCGCGTCACTCCAAAAGGAGCCACGTTGGCGATCCGCGTGGGTGCGATCCGACGGCCCAGATCAATCAAAAACGAACGGCCCAGATTAAAACGAAACGAACGGTTGTGATCAAAAGGCAAGGGGTTATAAATAGAACCCCCACACCAGACCACAAACCCTAGCCGCCAGCCGCTCGCCGGAGAAGACGAACCAGAGGCCGACCGCCGCCACCCGCCGCCACTCGCCGCCGCACCGGGGAAATTTCCGACCGCCGATCGAGGTAAATTTCATACCCCCGACTCGTTTTTCCCCACTGATTCCTCCTATGGCCAAATCGAAGCCGAAATCCCGGCCAAACGGTCGGAATACGCGGCCGAAGCCCAGCGGCGCCGCCGCGCCCCCTCTCGGTTTTTGCCTCCGACGAGGCCCTTCCCGGCCTCCGTTCGATGCAATTTTTATATCACCGTGATCACCATTCTTTTCTCTACAGGTTGACCGAAGCCAAATCACCAAAACACGAACCTCACCGGAGAGTCGCCGTACCCGAGAGCGCCGCCGCCGGTAAGCTCCGCTTTTCCGTGATTTTTTGGCCCCCCGAGGGCCCTAGGGTTGTTTTCTGACAAGGACCAATGCGAGTGTGGCCGAATTCGGCCAAAAACGGCCGAAAACAGTCAACCCGAGGCGACTCGCCGCCGCCAGCGGCGGCGCCGTCGCCGGAGCACGGCGGAGCCGCCGTGCCGGAGTTGCGATTTGGGCCGAAAGAGGCCCTGGGCCTAATTTGGATTTTTTTTGGAACACGTACAGGTACTGTTAGTGTGTTTCAGTTCCCCGGGAAAAATTCATGGAAATTAGAGACAGCCTGCAGCGCACTGTGAATCGTATTCGGATCCCGAAACAAGTAAGACCCTCACCTTATTTCCTATCACGGTATTAAAGTTCAAAATGATAAACGGTATTTCTTGAATTAATGCATGTGTGAAATTGCTT